AGGTGGGGATGGGGATGGGGGGGCTGCGCTGGTTATCCATAGGTAGGGGGGTTCTCCAGATGCGTGTAAACATCGGAGGGTCTGTTTTCTTGTTTACTGTTATTATTGTCGTCTGAAGGTACTGTTGGGGAAAATCAAAATCTAAAATGTTTCTGTGGATGTAGAGCTACCCTGCTGCGTGCAGTAGAGGGGTAATTTGTTAACACGAGAGTTTGTACACGACAAATAGAACATTAAATCGTCTTTTTTTCTTTTTTTTTTTTTTTTCCCCAACGAAACGTATCCTGCCGGATTTAAGATTGGGCTGGCAATAATTTCCCCACCTTGTTCGTAGTGGGCTGCTGTTATTTTTGTTGTACTCCCGGAATAATTACTATTCTGTGCGCTCGAATAGCTGCCTGAAATTCATCTCCAGATAACAGCGCCGGCATTTCTAGCGCCTCTCCGCACCATTTCATCCGCAAGCGGAGCCGATTTTCCAGCTATTTATTTCTATCTCGTCTCCTCGGGCTTTAACGCGAAGGGGTTATTTGGTATTTGGAGGAATTTTGTCGTCTGGTCGTTTGACGTTTTAAGTCCTTCTCATTCCCTCGCCTCGAGTTTGAGATAATCAGAGCCCATCATCACGCCACCCTCTGCTCTGAACCGCAACCAAAGGAGGCTCCTCGCTGGAGCAAGGGGCCATTGTTTCTTTTCCGGGGGAGCGTGGGACTGTTCTGAAAATTAGCAGAACGTTAAAACTCTAAAAATACGTTTAATTAATCCAAAGGTGCCCCCAGCACCAGAGTTAACACCTCCGCGGGAGGAGGGGAAAAAATAATAATCGAGGAAGCAATTAATAAAGGGCTTTAAAAAAAAAAAAAAAATCAATCTCCCCCTGTGCGAGTTTAAAATGATTATCTAGGGGACAAGGATTGATCATTTGATCTCGGCACTGCGGATATCCCTGACATTTATTATATTGTTGTGTCTCGGTGGCATCCTTCCTCCAGAGTTCATTTAACAAGTGAGGGAGCCGAGGAAGCCTTACAACTTAACAAACAGGTCTTGTCATCGCAAACGCCAATCAAATCCCAGGCTCTAATGTATATCACACGGCACCACATAAATAATAAAGGCTAAAGGATAGACGTGGAAGTAACGTATGGCTAAAGGAAAAGATCCCGGCACGGCACACACGGCTGCTTGTGCCTCTCTCCCGCAGTTCTGCTGCCGGAGCCCCGCACACGCGGGTGGCGCCGTGCGGGGGTGGCGGGGGGCACACGCACAAAGCGGGGGGACACGGGCACCCGGTTCCCGCGGGCGAGAGGCTCCGCGGGGCTGAGCAGTCGCCGCCGGGGAAACTTTCCCCAGCCCTCGGTTCGACCGGCATCCACCTTCCCCCCCCCTAAATCACCACCA